ATTGATTACTTTTGCTTGCAGTGGTGGAAAAGAGGTAAGGGTAAAATAAGTGTTGCATGCTTGAATGATGATTGGTTATGAAGATGTATAAATTAATTTAAAGACATGCATAGATATGAGAATAATATCTTGAACATGATCAATTTGATTGTTTGATCTTGTTGAATTTCAAATTGAGAATGAATGTTTGAAGGATAATCATACCGGCATGACATTGATTTAAGTCATTTTGTGAGTTTATCATTTGAAAACCCTTACGAGACATAACTCATCCACCAAGGTAGCCTAGGGGTTTAAAGGCTTGTTGCATGTGCTAAATACAATCATGATTTCTATGAAAGTGAGTTATGTTTTTGTTTTGTTTATTTTGCTTGACGACTAGCAAAGTCTACGTGTGAAGGTATTTGATGAGTGCATAATTTGCATAACTTTTATGCTCTTTTACATTAAAAATTTTGATACTTATTGTATTATATTTAGAAAATTAAGATCAAGATAATGATTTTGGGTTTTGTAGAAAAAATGATGAATCGAAGAAAATAAATCCAAGCCAAAACAAGGAAGAGCCAAAGCCATAAAGGAGCTCAAGGAGACACAAGGCCATGTGAATTAGAAGAAGACATAGCTATTGGCCATGTGAAACAAAAGAGGAAATCATGTGGTTGTTCAGCAGTAACACCACACAAGCAATAGCAATCCCTACGATATTGACTAAAGAAGAGACATACTTGTATGTGTCAAAGCAAGAAGTAATGCAAGGAATGAAAGAAGAAAGGCATATGAGTAGAAATAATGACATGGGATGAAGATAAAATTCCATATGAGTAGAAGCTAGGGACACGAGATGAATCAAAAAGAGACATGAGATGGAGTGCAAGTGGCATAAGGTCGAGTGCAAGTGGCACACGGTCGTGTGCCTTTGTCCGACTAACTATGCAGTACCAACTCCACAAGGCTCCAAACCATGTGAGATAAAAGAGCAATCCGCTTTTCTTTACCAAATATGGCCATGTGGGATTGACATGTGTGTGTCTGTAACCTTACTTTTAGCTATAAATAGTGAGGCTAGGGTTTTATTCGAGAGTCGTTTTTTCAGGCGACCACCATAGATAGGAAATTCTATCTTATAATCAAACATAAGTCACTAATAATCGATCTTGGTTGAAAGAAAATTAAAACTTCGATAAAATCGTTATGGGATTTTACCGGATTCTAATCCTAAACTTATTCTTTTTGAGTATTTTATGTTTTTTTTATATTATTTGAATATGATTATGTGATTGATTGATTAGAGTGCACACTAGTTGCTTAATCATTATAATCTATTGCTAGATAAATATTCAAGTTCATGTAATTACTTGCCTATGGTAGTAACTAGGGGTTATTGATTATAAATGTGTTTTCGTTTAATCCCTTGGAAAACATAGAACTAAATTAAATTCTTCTAGTGTCTAGAAGATTGTTTAGCTTTGCTTGTCTTTCTAATTTAATGCTATTGTTGGGTTAAATGTAGCTAGCATCTATGAAGTTGTTTAATAGTTAGGGATTAATCAAATAACGTCTATTTGATTAACGAATCATTAACGAAAAATTGGGGGCAACATGCATATTGTTGTCCTATGGTGAATATTCATGGTAAGAATAGGTTAATATTTGAATTAATGATCAACGATTAAACAAAAAATAGAAACAAATCTTCAACCAAGGTTTTTCTCAATATTGTTATTTCTCTTTATTTTTTTTACTTTACAAATCTCTACATACAAACACAACCCCTCTTTCTACTTCCATTGCACTTCATAACAATCAAACGATAGAAACCATTGATTAGACTATTTCCTTGTGGGTTTAACCATTACTTGCCCTATTTACACTCTTGTGATTGGGTTCCATAAGGAATATAAATACAATCTAATTGGTTGGTGGCACAACAATCTAATTACTTGCCTATGGTAGTAACTAGAGATGTTATTATTATGTTTAATTAATAAAACTATTAAAAAATATGAATTAGAATAAATTTATTAACCACTATTAATATATTCACAATATCGATTGTTGCGATTGTTATTTTAATATCGTAATAAACCGTGATTGTGGCTGTTTTTACGACCATGCTTGCTATTTAAAATTATGTGCTGATAAGAAGTAATGAGACATAATTAGCATAGGCTTTCACATTTTTGGATTGAAGATCACCTGAAGAAGCCATGGGCTGCATATTCGAGAGCTAACAAGAAATTAATAGGAAAGGCTGTTGATCGTTTTGGCCATTAGCTAGAAAATGGTTATTTTGACCGTTAGCTTCAGAATGGTTAAATAACGGAGGATGTCATTCCTAGTGGACGCAATCTCTTCAGTTTTGCTTTTCAAGTCAATGATGCTTCTCTGCCTCTATTTTGATAAGCTCGCAAGCCACGTACCAATCGTTATGTTCTTGTTCCAGGTAATCCCGGAAACCACAAAATTGTTATGTTCTCCAGACTTGGATTAAAAAGCAAGCGAGTTTGCTGCTTTCTTACTACTTTCGTCTCATACTTTCATCAGTTCCTCTCTTCCTGAGGTCAACGGATTTTTAACTTTTATCTACTTTTTTCCTAGTTAATTTTATTCACTTGAGATTGAGATGACAATTGAAGCCGAACCTAAATGAATACCACCAAAGGGATCGAATAGATTACGATTGTTTTTATAAATATTTATTATTTCAGATTCAGAGTGGGTATTGATACCTAAATTTCTTTTTCGTTTAGTAATGAAATAGTTGGTTTCTCATATTATGTAATGGATTAAACTAAATATATTTATTTTAATTAAATAATCTGTATCATGTTATTGATCTACTAACATATACTAAATTAAATATAAAATTTCATTTCATTTCTTAATTTTTAATAATTTTTTGTATTTCATTCATTCTTTTATTTTTTTTCATTGATTTTATTGTTAAAAAATCATGATTCATTTTTTATTATGCATTCACTCTTAGATTAAAAAAACCTACAATAATATAAATAAAAAATTTAATAATTTTTTAAATATCTTAATATTTTTGAATAAAATTGTATTAATAAATAAAGCAACAATCAATGCAAAAACTTATATAAAAATTAACTAATGAATTTTTTTTTAACTTTTTGAAAATTTATACATTTGATTTATATATTTATTTATTTACAAAAAAAATCAATAATTAATATTAGTATGAAAATATACATTTGAATTATTAGGTGATTCTTTTAAAATATTATTTTATTTAAAATAAATTAATTTTAGAATATTAAAAATAATTAATAGGAAATAGTTGGTGTTGAGTGTGTTGTATACATAGTTAATTTTCTATAAATTCAATGATCTCAATATCTTTTGTATACATCATGACCATATTTAGCAATCGTAGTGTACAATATAAATTTAAAAATATTTTTTAAAAAACCTAAGTTATAAGAAATACATTATAGTTAATAGAGTATAATAAAAAAAATGAAAAATTTATTCCAAAAAAATTTAATTATATCAAGAATAACCCAAAAAGAAAACACGTAAATTCTATTATTTATTTAAAAAAACATATTGATAATTCATACATAGAGAAAAATAAATCATATTTATTAACAAATAAAATTACATAAAAAATAAAAAATTAATTTGATGAGAATTTTTATAATAAACAAAAAATTTAAGAGATTAATTTTAAATATTATGAAAATATAGTCCAATATATGTATTTGTTCTTAAAATTTAAAAACACAAGAGGTCAAAAATATCTTTAAAAAAATATGAGGGACCAAAAATATATTTTGAAAAATAAGAGACCAGAATGGATTAAGTTAAAAACATGAAGTGTCAAAATATTTTTAAAAAACATGGGGATTCAAAAATACCTTTTGAAAAAATAAATGATTGAAAAAGAATAAAGTGTAAAATTTGCAAATGAATACTCAAAAACTATCAAAAAATCACAAAAATACAATTGTAAAAAATTACAAAAACTACCACCCATAAACAATAAATCAATAGTGATTTGAGACAAGCAAACACTAATTGATTGTTCATTTCCCTAAAATCTTTTAGTGTTTTACTTAATATGATATAAATATTGTCAAATTCAACCCCAAAACTTATATATATATATATATATGTGTGTGTGTGTGTGTGTGTGTGTGTTAAATAATAAATAATATTTGGATAATGAATATCCAAAACGCGATGAATTAAATATGAATATCAAAATTTTTCACTTAATAAGTAATGAATAAGAGATGTATATTTAAATTTCTTATCCGATAGGTAATGGAAAGGTTATGAATATCAAAAATTCGATCCATAGGTATCCATGGTCATTTTTTACTTAAGATATCAAACATTAGGTTTGAAAAAATTTCAAGTTAATATTTTTCATCACTTGTTTTTAACTATTATAAAATTGAAAAAAAGAAAAGGAAATCTCAATGTAGCTCCTAATATACTACTTCATTGCCAATTAGATTTTAAATATTTTGGTTTTATCAATTTTACCTCAAATGCAATCGACTTTATATAATGTCTCCTTTTATCTTTTTTTAGTTCCCATTAAAAAATTATGACTATTTAACATGTTTTGCATGTGTTTGTTAATTTTTATTTTTTAAGAATATCATATTTGTTAAGTATTTTTATCCAAGATAAAAACAAACTCAATGTGTGCTAATAAAAAATTATAGTATATATTTTTTAACTTCACTAGCTTAAAAGGGTCAAATTTATGATAGTGAAGTTGGAGAGAAATTTATTACAATTTGGAACCATTTAAGATTGTCTAATTTTGATTACACTTATAACCAAATTAATAAAATAAAAAGATGGAAAGTCAATTGATAATAAGAGAATAGGTTATGGGGTAAATTGAGGTTAACCAAAATTGTCAAAATTCTGATTTATGAGTTTGAAAAATCAGACAAGGCCAGTCTTGGAATTGAAGGGGAATTATGGAGAAAAAATATTTCTCATTTATAAACTAGTACTCACTTTAAGAACCCAAACTGTGTGTATACTAGAATGCAAACTCTGAAATCATTCCCCAATCTCTCACTTTCCCATCTCTACAATCTTCCCCAAAACCCTTTCTTTTTTCACCTCTTCTCTTCACTGGCCAAAACTCCAAATCCCATCCTTTTTGATTATCTTATCAAAACCCTCAAATTTTCCAAAACCCAAGCCCTCTCTGTCTCCACTCGCTATTCTCACATAAAATCCCTTGAGCAGCCTCAATCTTTATGTAAATATCTTCAAAGCATTGGTTTCTCCAATACCCACATCCAATCTTCAATCAAAAGAGCACCCCAACTTCTCTTTGCTAAAGTTGACAAGACCCTTAAACCAAAGATTGAGTTTTTAAAAAATCTGGGTATTGTTGGTCTTGAGCTAGTTCACCTCATTTCTAAAAGTTCTATGATTTTGAATGCTAGTTTGGAGAAAAGGATTGTTCCTTGCATTGAAATTTTGAAAGAAGTTTTGGTCAATGATGGGGATAATAAGGGTTTAGTTAAGGTTTTATTGAGAAGCAATCGGATTATGGGTAGAGATCCCAAATCATTCTTGTTGTCTAACATAGCTTTGTTTGAGAGTTATGGGATTGTTGGGTCTCAGCTTGCAACATTGTTGAGTAGAAATCCTAGGCTTTTTGTTATGCAAGAATCAGTCCTTAGAGACCTTCTCTTGAAGGTTTCGAAAATGGGGTTTTCGGCTGATTCTAGGATGTTTGTTCATGGTGTGTATGCTCTTAGTTGTGTGAGCGATGAGACATTTGAGAGAAAGTTTGGTGTATTCAAGAGTTTTGGGTTTTCAATTGATGATTTCATGGGAATGATTAGACAAGCCCCGCCTTTGCTTCGGAGTTCTGAGGAGAAGTTGAAGTTGGGAATTGTTTTCTTTTTGGATTCAATTAAGCTTAAAAAGAAGGTGTTGGTTCGTAGACCTACAATCTTGTTGTACAGCATGGAAGAAAGAATTATTCCTCGATACCGGATTTTGGATCTCTTGAAATCAAAGAAGCTATTGAGGAGGGATCCGAGTTTTCTTAACGTATTGTATTTGACTGATAATGCGTTCTTGGAGAAGTATGTATCAAGGTTTAGAGATTGTGCAGAAGAATTATTAGTTGTTTACGAGGGTCACATTTTGGATCCTTCATCTGAAGGAGAAACAGCTTGATGCAAGCTAGGTGTTTGGGGTTCCAATTGGTTTTCTAAGGGATTCTTCAGCTTGCTTTCTCAAATTTCAAGTTGGCCATCTGGAACCATGCTCATGGTGATATTTTGGGTTTACATATTTCTGTAAGAGCTCTTAAAACTGTTCATTATCGAATGATTATGCTACCCGTTCAAATATTGGTTTATAGTAATATGGGCTTATTTTGATTATGCTATGGTTGTGAAGAAAATTCTAAATGTCAGAGAAAAATGTGTTAAGGTCTGCATGTTGAGACTGTTTAGTTGATTACCTGTGTATTTTCTTCAGTTATTGTCAGGTATATTGACAAATCATGGGTGGCTCATGTTCTGTGATTGTCCTTAATGTGCAATTGAAGAACATTGCCATTTAATTTGCTGAGAATGCATCGCACTTGCCATATATATTTTTACTCACAATGCTTTGGAAACTTGATCCTAACGTGTCATAAGAATTCAAAATTGGTATTTAACTGTTCTTAGAAAATCAATGGAGTAAATATGCATCTTTCCTTCGCAGTTATTTTCTCAACCATTATAATGTGGACGTGATCTGAATTTCAGACATGTAGAAAGCTGATTCTTATGTTGCCGAACTTCCACAATACTTGAGAATAAAGAAGGTTCTTGCCTGAGTTTTGACCGTTCTCCATCCCATCATGGTTGAAAGTCTAAACTTTGAGTAGTTGTCGAGCCTGTTTGTCTCATTTCATTGATTTAACATTTATTTGAAAATCATTGAGACTTCATTTCAATTTCATAAAATGAATGTCAAAAGTTGTTGGTTAAGGGGAGCCCTAAATTCTATCTTGTCTTTCCAGATCATCATATAAGTGGGGGAGGAAAAGAGTGGTCTAGTCTAATTGTCTAACAGTCTGAGTTTTGCCAGAAAATTGACAGAAAACTGGAATTCTGGAGACAACAAGTATTGTTGCATAATCCCTTTTATAGGATTCTCATAATGTAATGGTTTATTTATAAGAGAGAATCAGCTGATTCCATATTTTTGAAGTTTACTCACCTTGAAAAGAAAAAAGTTGATTGGTAAAAGCATGAAAGAAAAGAAAAAAGAAAAGAATGAGCTGGACAAAGCAGAATATATTAACAGATTTAGATATGGACTGAAATTTGAAAGTCCATTAGGTTAATGGGTGGCCAGATTTGATGGAAGCATAAAATTTTAATCAAACAATTTGTTTTCGTTGTATTCGACACTTCTTTCCACGTGTACTATAGTTATCAATTATATTGGCAAAACTTGTCACTTTTGAATGGATATTCGTGCGTATATTTTATACATAATTGCATTAGTCATGTTATCAACACACTACCTCATCCCATTGCTTGTACTTTAGTTTCTTCTGGAAAATAGGAAGCAATTTCCAACATGAAAAGTCTCCTCAATTCATAAACTTCTTTTGCTTATCTTTCTCGTCACTTTTGGTAATATTTCCAATCTCATTTTCTTCTGGTATGAAGTTTTTCATCGATTTATTTCTTTTACAACTAGTAAATGATTAAGGAATCACATCCTTTAGTTATGTCCCCAGTTTTTTCCTCACTTGTGGATTGATATTTTACTGCTATTTGTTATACTTGGATTAAAATCAAGATAAGTCAATTTTCTATTACAATGAAAGTATTACAAAGAAAGTCGATATAACATAAGCCATCTTTATTGAGAACTGTTTTACGAATAGAATGTTTTTCTAAACTGTGTACTAAATTCTTGGATGGTGGGTGCAGAACTGTGCAGAAGGGGAACAGTTCAGTTTGATCAGTGCCGATCATTTTCCTTTGACAGCAAATGTAGATAGCAGAGTGGAGAGAATGCTACTGGGAAATGCAAGGACGAAGTTACTTGTAAATGTTCTGTCCCTTGCTAAAGCATGTAATGCAGGAAAGGTCTAGTGCTAATTTTAGCCAAAGAAAGTCAAGTTAAAACTTACAAGGTTTCGTTTTGAATTCTCTGTCTGTGTGTGTGCATGCCCGTTCTTTCATGTTGGAACTGTTGATTATTATGCGTAACCCTGCCTTACTGGTAGTTTACATTTTTCTAATCTACTAACGAACAACATAGTTGAGAATTTGAGGAATGTCAATCTGTATTCTGTAGGCTCTAACCAAATCATGAAACTATTGGATTGAGCTGTGCAGAATTACTTGCACAAGATATACCAGTAGGAGTGCAGACCTTGTGCCGTGTGTGATCGATGTCTATCCGGGGGGTGGGTGGTGGGCGCAAAGTGGCTTGGCTCAAAATATTGAGAGGATAAGGAAACTTAACCTCTGAAAATCTTCAAAAGTGTCCTAAAGATACAAGGGTAATGATACATTACATACCTATGCTCTATACCCTCAAAAGGTTAAAACAAACAAAGATAAATTCCAACTGCTCAGAGCTCTAGTAGATTTACAAGTACACAAATTTCTCTGCCTAAATTTCATGCCGGTCCAAAGTTAAAGAACCCTGATCTATCCTCTTTGAGTAGCTGCATGTAACCTGTGGGAAGAGCCTCCAAATTGAAAATGATTTTGTGAGATTGATGATGAAATGCCCAACTTGCTAGCTCATTCGTCACCTTATTACCTTCTTTGACCATATGTTGTAGTCTTGTCCCTGAAGTTAGATTACTTACACATTCCCGGTACAAATATGCTAGCTGCCATGGATAGGAGTTTGAGCAGGAAAGCCCCCAAGTGTAAGAGCTGAGTCCAATTCAATGATGTTTACCGTGAGTCTATGATGCTTGCAAATTGAAACTCCCTCCAAAATTGCTAAGATCTCCCCCCATTATTGGAGTCCGGACCATAAAAACTCAAAAAAGCCATGACTGGATTGTCTTGCTCATCCCTAAGTATGCCTCCACTATAAATATTATTTCTCGATGAACCATTTGTATGCAAATTGAGAGAGCCAATTGGAGGAAGACTCCATCGGACCCAACTGCCACATCTCATGTTGGTGAACTGAACTGGAATGCCTAATGCCCGTAAGCATACTCTATCATGAAATGATGGAGCTTTTCTCGGGGTGAAAATTTTGTTGATGTCGGATAGCCAATGAAGCACTTTGTGCTTGATATTCACACCATTCATGGCCTCATCCTCAAATTAAGCTTTGTTTATTGCTAACCACAGCTCCCAAATGATTCAATTGAAAGCAATGACACGAGAGACTAATTTTTGTGAAAGAGGAATACCATTGGGGAGCCACTTTGTCATGAGTTGCTAGAGTGTCATGATTCCAGTTGGAATATCTAACACATCTCCAAAATAATTCCAGGTTTGCTTGGCAACGTCACTGAAAAGGAAGAGGTGCTCCCTAGACTCCTCTTGTAGGCTGCTACAACATTTACATTGAGAAGCTATAGGTATCCCACAAGATTTAATATTTGACTCCACTGTTATAGCATTGTTCAAAAATTTCCAGACCATGACACTAATTTTACGTGGAATCCATTTGTTCCACAAGCGTTTCCACCACTTGAACTTCTGTTCAGAAGCTCTGTTGAATTCATAGTAGTCTCTACTGCAACAACATTTACATTGAGAAGCTATAGGTATCCCACAAGATTTAATATTTGACTCCACTGTTATAGCATTGTTTAAAATTTTTCAGACCATGACACTAATTTTACTTGGAATCCATTTGTTCCACAAGCTTTTCCACCACTCAAACTTCTGTCCAGAAGCTCTGCTGAATTCATAGTAGTCTCTACTGCTAAGCTTCCCCGACTTGGAGTCCATATAGCAAAGCTTATCATCCATGGTACTATCCAGGAACAGCTTGTCTAACTATTCTCTAACTTGCTGCGAGTGAGAAGCATAAACTTGTGTGTATGTAGGAGGTGGAAGATCTGCCAATGTCCACCTATCCTCCCAAACTCCGATTTACCCCATTCTCATTACCCAAACTGATCAGTGTAGTAAGATTTGTAAGTGAGGCATAATGGATCTCCATAGCATTGACCCTTTGCATCTGTCCATGCTTGAAAAACTGTTTGGCAATCCATACTTAGCTCTAACAAAGGAGCTCTATATTGATGTCATTGATAAGTAAGCCTATGTAAGTTTACTTTTCATAGCCTGCATTGCCTCTTTCAAATCTCTCACTTCCGATCCACCTTCTTGTATAGGCAGGGACACTTTGCACTAGCATGGTGTTGACTCACCCCACTGTTCCAAAAAAGTTAGATATGTAGCTTTGTAGCCTAGTTAATGTGATTTCAGGAATTGAAAGAACTCCTATAGTGTAGATGGGAATTGACTAAAGGACACTTTGTATTAGTGTTAACTTGCCCCCTGACGACAAGAGCTTCCCTTTCCATCCAGCCAACCTCTCCTTCATTTTTTATTCCAAGAAAGCAAAGTAGTGTATGCAACTTTTCCCTTTAAACTACGACATACCTAAATATTTTATAACTTCCGAAGTAACAACGAAGCCTGTCCATGTAGATAGCATACCTTTTCTACTAGGCGAGATTTTATTCCTACATAGAAGCAAACTTTTTTTTTGAAGTTAATCAACTGTCCACTAGTAGCAGCATAATTCTGCAGTAGGGTCATCATGTTATCTAGTGTTCTCTTACCCTCATTGCAAAACACTAACATGTCATCTGCATACAATAAATGTGAGATAATAGGCATATTACGGTCAATATAATATGGAGAGATCAAACTTTTTTTAATCCATGCATTTAGTTGGCGACTAAAGGCATCTGGAGCAAGGATGAAGAGAGCATGTGACAATGGGTCTTTTTGTCTCACTCTCTATAAGATTTGAAAAAGCCGAATGTGTTGGAGTTTAAGCACAATAAGTACCAACAGTTACTCAGGTAGCGATAGATCAAGTTGCACCAGGAATTTGTAAAGCCAAATTTCCTCATGAATCCGAGAAAAAACTCCATTCTAATCTATTGTATATGAAGGATCATACATCCTTTAGAGGTGCAAAATAAATAAAAATTTTCCTCCATCTAA